TGTCATCTTAGCCTTCCAATAGGGATAGTTTGAGCCATCAAATTAAGGTGGCTTCTTGGTGTTGTTGATTTGAGCCATTTTTACACCGAATGTTGTTAAGCCTCAAATCATGGTGACCTCGACTCTGATACCACTTGAAAGGTCCTAATGGCTAGAGGGGGGGTGAATAGCCTATTAAAAATTTCTACAACAACACTTAGCAAACCGGTTAGACAATTATGAGGCGAAGCAAGTGTTGCGCTAGCCTACTAAAATTGCAAGCCACCTACCACAATTCTAGTTTATATAGTTTCTATCCACACAATAGCTATGTCACTACACTAAGTTAGTGTGCTCTCAAAGGCTAACTAAAGAGCCACACTAACCAAACTAACAAGCTCTCACAACTAGCTACACTAAAGAGCTTAACAACTAGTTTGCGGTAATGTAGAAAGAGTGAGCAAGATGGTTATACCGCCGAGTCGAGGAGTGAACCAATCAACCACAAGAATGAATACCAATGAAGACTAATCACCTCGGAATCAAATGGTGACACAATGATTTTTTACCAAGGTTCACTTGCTTGTCGGCAAGCTAGTCCTCATTGTGGTGATTCACTCACTTGGAAGTTCACGCGCTAATTGGCATCACACGCCAAACCCTCAATAGGGTGCCGCACAACCAACACAACATGAGGATCACACAAGCCACAAGCAATTTACTAGAGTACCTTTTGGCTCTCCGTCGGAGAAAGGTCCAGAACCCCTCACAATCACCATGATCGGAGCCAGAGACAATCACCAACCTCCGCTCGACGATCCTCGCTGCTCCAAGCCATCTAGGTGGCGGCAACCACCAAGAGTAACAAGCGAATCCCGCAGCGAAACACTAACACTAAGTGCCTCTAGATGCAAACACTCAAGCAATACACTTGTATTCACTCCCAATCTCACAAAGATGATGAATCTATGATGGAGATGAGTGGGAGGGCTTTGGGTAAGCTCACAAGGTAGTTATGTCAATACAAATGGCTAAGAGAGTGAGCTAGAGCCGGCTAAATGGTATTTATGGACACCCCAATCAATAGAGCTCTTGGCTCAATTATTGGGCTGACTGGGCGTCGACCAGACGCACAGGTCGTGTGCACCGGACGCACCGTTCATGTATACCGGACGCGTCCGGTTTGGTGACCAGATGCGATCGGTCGCTGCCTGACCGCCACGTGTCCCATTCAAAATGAAGTAGTCGTTGCTGCCATATTAAATTTACGACCGGACGCTGAGCCGCAGCATCCGGTCGAGTCCAGAGAGTACCTAGTGCCGACCGGACGCGTCCAGTCACTCCAGACCGGATGCAGGAAATGCAGCATCTGATCGAGTCTAGAGAGCTCCCAGAGCCGCTCTAGGCCGACCGGACGCATCCGGTCACTCCAGACTGGACACTCCCAGCATCCGATCAACTGATACGCTGAACATCGACACTCGCTGATTCACACCGGATGCGTTCGGTGTGGCGACCGGACGCGTCCGATCGCTCTCTGCAATTCAGTACCGAGCCACATACCGGACGCGTCCGGTCACTCTGTGACCAGTGCGACTAACAACTTTTCAACTCTATCTTCTTCACCCTTGCTCAAATGTGCCAACCACCAAGTGTATCACCTTGTGCATATGTGTTAGCATATTTTCACAAACATTTTCAAGGGTGTTAGCACTCCACTAGATCCTAAATGCATATGCAATGAGTTAGAGCATCTAGTGGCACTTTGATAACCATATTTTGATATGAGTTTCACTCCTCTTAGTAGTATGGCCATCAAATCTAAATGTGATCACACTCGCTAAGTGTCTTGATCACTGAAACGAAAAGGCTCCTACCACTTATACCTTTGCCTTGAGACTTTTGTTTTTTTCTTTTACTTCTTTTCCAAGTCCAAGCACTTGATCATCACAATGGCAACACCATCATCATGTCATGATCTTCATTTGCTTCACCACTTGGAGTCGTGCTACCTAACTCATAATCACTTTGATAAACTAGGTTAGCACTTAGGGTTTCATCAATTCACCAAAACCAAACTAGAGCTTTCTGGGTGGGACCGTATATCCATATCACCGGGCCGTGTCTGGTCGGTGGTCTTCGTACCCGTTATCACTGCTTTGAGGCGGTGTTGTCTTGTCCGTGCGGCGTGGCACAGGGTTGGTGTCTGATCGGATTGAGGTGACTGTTGTCCCCTCGGTCCTTGTGGGGTCAGTGCGGTGTGCTCGCTTTTGTCAGAGCTAGAGCGCTTGGCCGAACACGACCTCTCTCTATCTCTTCCGATGGTCGTAATGGGGAGAGGTTGTGTGCTTTGCGAACGCCGCGCAGCCAGGGCCGGAGGAAGAGGTCGTGGCTGACCCTAGCCCTTGCGTCCGGCATGGCTTGCTCGGCTTGACTAGGCCTTGATCGTTCGGGCCTTTGCCAGCTAGCGCATTGCAGTCCTCGTGGCCTGCTATCTAATTGGTTCCTTGAGACACCCCGGGGTTATAACCGCTTCAGTATTAGACCTGATACCCAATTTACCAAGAATAGTGGTGTTATGGCGGTGGAAGAGGTCTCCAGGAGCATGCACGGACACCAGGTCTTCATGGGCATGCACGCCAGGTCCAGAGGCTAAAATAAGAAGGCGCATGTGGCATCATTGGTTAGAAGGCGCATGCGCCATCCTTTGGTTAGGAAGGAAGGAGTTGGGAAGATTATTAGGAGTTGCTTTCCTAGCTTGTTAGGAGTGTACCTGAGTATAAAGGGCACTGGATCTGCTGTGAATAAGGCGTCGAAGGAAATAGGACCTCCCAAGGCGACAGGTCTTCTCCGTCGACGGTGGCTGCCGATTATTCAGCCATGGCCACCGGCGACGAACCCACCGCAGCTTGCCTCGCTATCCTCTGCGCTCCCCACGCCACCCACGCCATATCAATTTGGTATCAAAGACCACTCCTGAGGCATCGCCATCCATGCCCGGCCTCCACATCTATCCTGTGGCAATGGATGCCAAGCTCGACCGCATCCTTGCGCAAATCTCCACCATGAACAAGCGATTGAATTCACATGACGAGCGCATTGCGCGTATGGAGAAATTCCAACAAGACAAGAAAATGGGGGCAACAGCGACACCCACCGCCACGGTCGCCTTCAGCCGCTCCCTCGTCCCCGTGAAGGCCTTGGAGGGTGACATGGCCATCGCCAACTAGGCCAACGTGAACGACAACCAGGTGGCTGCTCCGGTGGGCGGCGCTGTCCAACGCTTGACACCACCAACGAAGGCCTAGGCGGGTATGACTCTAGCAGTCTCATCACCAGCTTCGCCAACAACCCCGTTGGCACTAGCGTCACCAACGCAGGTCATCTCCCCTGCACCGACATTGGCGGTCATGGTGCCTTTGTCGCCGCCTCTACCGGTCGCAGCAGACAATCCTCGTTCATCTGTCGGCATTGCAGCCATCACAAGCGTGGCCATGGATGTTTGCACACACGGTTTCCACTGCCGGCTCCAAGAAGAAGCCTTGCAAGCTCCATCGGTCGCTTGGAGTACGCCTCCAGTGCAGCCCCGCTCTGCTGCACCCATAGCGGGGGTGGTTGCTCGTGCAGAGCACCATCGACTCCACGTGCGGGCGCTCTATGGATTCGATCCGGGCGGATTAGATTCCACCAGATCTCGGTTTTTAGTTGGACTGCGCGGTCTTCCGCTCCACCAATTGCCACAGCTCGAGGACGAGCTGTCTTGGAGGGATGGAGTAGTGTTATGGTGGTGGAAGAGGTCTCCAGGAGCATGCACGGCCATCAGGTCTTCATGGGCATGCACACCAGGTCCAGAGGCTAAAATAAGAAGGCGCAAGCGGCATCATTGGTTAGAAGACGCATGCGCCATCCTTTGGTTAGGAAGGAAGGAGTCGGGAGGATTATTCGGAGTTAGTTTCCTAGTCTGTTAGGAGTGCACCTGAGTATAAAGGGCACTGAATCTGCTGTGAATAAGGCAACGAAGGAAATAGGACCTCCCAAGGCGGTGGGTCTTCTCCTTCGACGGTGGCTGCCGGTGATTCAGCCGTGGCCACCAGCGACGAACCCACCGCAGCATTGCCTCGCTATCCTCTGCGCTCCCCACGCCACCCACGCCATATCAAGTGGAAGACTAATGATTTTTGGTATTTGTGATTGATTAATTGTGCTATTTTCTAATGTCAATTGTATGAAACTGGGACTGATCCATCATGTAATGCTCATCTGTTTGCTCTAAAATACTGTGAAAAGCTATTTTTATTACCAATAGTTCTGACTCTTTTGAACTTTTAATGGTTTTGCTGATTTCACGTAGTCTGGAAATACATGAACCTGAATCCCAATTTCGTGTACTACTTTCTCAAGACAATTTTTTAGTATCAGATTTGGAAATCGGAATGACCCGATTGAACGTTTCATGTAATCCAAATGCCCATCCATCCGTAAAGAGGCCCAGTATCACGCCCCTTTCTTCCCTCTCTTTTTTGTTTCTTAGTTCTTTGTTGTAACTTGTTAGTTTCTCAATAAAATTCTCAGTAGGGTGAACCCCTCTTGTACCATACAGAAAGAAAGGCGACGAATAGCTCGTCGTGTGGCGATTACAGTTGCGTGTCAACTTGACCTACAAGTTGAATCATTATTGAGTTACTCTAACTGGAGACAACAAACTATTTATATCTCTAAACCCGTTTAAAAACTGTACATATAGAAGCAAGCCCGTTTTCTCACACGATTTAGGAAGGATCACCTTTTGCCATTCAAGATGCCTGGCTAACAGATAGACTGATGCTTTCACATAGCTTGGTTTGGCAAAATTATTTATGAAAAGGTCAGCAAGTTCCACAGAAGCATCAACTAAATCAGTCTAAGCTGAAAAGAGGAAACCTCAAGAAGATGCAGGCAACTGGTAACATCAAACGCCAGGACAAGCGAGCGAACAAGCTTGCACGTTGACAATCTTTACACTTCATTTTCCATAGACATCACTATGCCTTGTATGGGCTGGTAGTGCCACCGCCAATTGTACTGCCTACTTTCAGGCAACCATCTGAATTTCTCTCAAACAAGTCATCGAAAAACTTGTTGGAAGGAACATAAGATGGCCTGCGAGCCCCAGCAGACAGTGGTTGCTTCAGGTTCCCATTTATTGGTGAGTCCAAACTCGCAGATCGAAGTGGTACCCCAAAAGAATGTGATTGCTGTAGAGGCCTCAAGTTCGGTGGCATGATAGGAGTGCTCGAAGTGGACTGGTGCTGAGATGATGATGCTACAAAAGGGTTCGATTCGGTGTTGTCCTGTGAAGCCCAGGGTGGCGGCGGGTAAGCAAATGAGCTATAAGATAACTGTGCTTGAGTGGGTGTCAGTTGTTGACTTCCTGTGGTCTGAGCTTGAGGCTGAGCCCACGGAGCGACATAAGTTGCAGATACATGTCTTTGGTTTCCATGATAAGCCCGCGGATGCCCACTTGTGGGTGAGCTGCCTTGATTCAAGCCTGGTTCAGGTATTACCGGGGTATAGGATGGTGACAGATTTGATGATATGGTGAGTGCAAGAAGGTCACTCATAACCTGCTCCTCTGGAGATGTCCTCACTGGGGCTGGAGGATCATGCAGAGACAATGCATTGCTTTCAATGGATGGTGATGTTGTGGGAACAGAAGCCGTAGAACTTGATATTTCATCATGGATGGTTGATGAAGAGGTGCTCGGGGTGTTTGTGGACTGAAATTTTGAGTTCCTGGTCAAAAAGGTTAAGTCAGCTCTGGATGATAAAAGGAAAACAAAACTAAGAATCAAATGTCAAGATTGGCATCAGGACAGTGTAACCTTCGAGCTAGCATAGAGAACTCATCATCTTCATTTTGTTCATCTTCGTCATTCAAAACATTGGTTGGTTCGTCATTCAAAACATTGGTTGGTACTATGGTTGTAGAAACTGCAGCTTGTGGAGGAACATTTGCTCCTAGGTTTAGAGCCATTCCTGAAGGCACTTCGCTCATAACATCTATTACGTCAGCAGATAAAGGATAACCTGATGCAATCGAATCATGTTTCTCAAGCAGAATTTGTAGTTTATCATTTAAATCAAGAGCTTGGCCCAAGAATTCCTCATCCCTGCCATGCAGAAGTGGAACAACAGAAAATTAGTTTGACAGTATAGGCTAAAATAAAATATCTTTACTACTACCATCCTGTTAGATAAGTTGATAATACAACATGGACAATGTATAGCTGATATTGCTCCCTGTCTCTTCACCGTGGTACCCAAGTGGAGAGCCAACAGCCAGACAGTTTTGGAGGCTCTCGCCGATCTGACGTGGGTCACTGACTTACAGGGGCTGTTGAATGTTGGTATCCTTGCTGAGTTCCTTGATCTGTGGGATCTCATTGCTCAAATGAATTTGCAGCCCGAAGTGGATGATAGGAACAATTGGCGTCTTGCACCATCCAGGGAATATTCAGCAAGGTCGGCTTATGATGGTTTCTTCCAAGGATCAGTTTCTTTTTGCCCTTGGGAACCCATTTGGTTGGACTCTGGGTAAATGTCGCTTCACGTGGTTGGTTGCCCATAACAAATGTTGGGGCTGACCGGCTGGCTTGCCAAGGTTTGCAACATCCTCCTCGCTTGCTCCGGTGGGCGGCGCTGTCCAACGCTTGACACCACCAACGAAGGCCTAGGCGGGTATGACTCTAGCAGTCTCATCACCAGCTTCGCCAACAACCCCGTTGGCACTAGCGTCACCAACGCAGGTCATCTCCCCTGCACCGACATTGGCGGTCATGGTGCCTTTGTCGCTGCCTCTACCAGTCGCAGCACCAATCCCTGTTCATCTGTCGGCATTGCAGCCATCACAAGCAGGGCCATGGATGTTTGCACACACGGTTTCCCTGTCGGCTCCGCAGCAAGCCTTGCAAGCTCCATCGGTCGCTTGGAGTACGCCTCCAGTGCAGCCCCGCTCTGCTGCACCCATAGCGGGGGTGGTTGCTCGTGCAGAGCACCATCGACTCCACGTGCGGGCGCTCTATGGATTCGATCCGGGCGGATTAGATTCCACCAGATCTCGGTTTTTAGTTGGACTGCGCGGTCTTCCGCTCCACCAATTGCCACAGCTCGAGGACGAGCTGTCTTGGAGGGATGGAGTAGTGTTATGGTGGTGGAAGAGGTCTCCAGGAGCATGCACGGCCATCAGGTCTTCATGGGCATGCACACCAGGTCCAGAGGCTAAAATAAGAAGGCGCAAGCGGCATCATTGGTTAGAAGACGCATGCGCCATCCTTTGGTTAGGAAGGAAGGAGTCGGGAGGATTATTCGGAGTTAGTTTCCTAGTCTGTTAGGAGTGCACCTGAGTATAAAGGGCACTGAATCTGCTGTGAATAAGGCAACGAAGGAAATAGGACCTCCCAAGGCGGTGGGTCTTCTCCTTCGACGGTGGCTGCCGGTGATTCAGCCGTGGCCACCAGCGACGAACCCACCGCAGCATTGCCTCGCTATCCTCTGCGCTCCCCACGCCACCCACGCCATATCAAGTGGAAGACTAATGATTTTTGGTATTTGTGATTGATTAATTGTGCTATTTTCTAATGTCAATTGTATGAAACTGGGACTGATCCATCATGTAATGCTCATCTGTTTGCTCTAAAATACTGTGAAAAGCTATTTTTATTACCAATAGTTCTGACTCTTTTGAACTTTTAATGGTTTTGCTGATTTCACGTAGTCTGGAAATACATGAACCTGAATCCCAATTTCGTGTACTACTTTCTCAAGACAATTTTTTAGTATCAGATTTGGAAATCGGAATGACCCGATTGAACGTTTCATGTAATCCAAATGCCCATCCATCCGTAAAGAGGCCCAGTATCACGCCCCTTTCTTCCCTCTCTTTTTTGTTTCTTAGTTCTTTGTTGTAACTTGTTAGTTTCTCAATAAAATTCTCAGTAGGGTGAACCCCTCTTGTACCATACAGAAAGAAAGGCGACGAATAGCTCGTCGTGTGGCGATTACAGTTGCGTGTCAACTTGACCTACAAGTTGAATCATTATTGAGTTACTCTAACTGGAGACAACAAACTATTTATATCTCTAAACCCGTTTAAAAACTGTACATATAGAAGCAAGCCCGTTTTCTCACACGATTTAGGAAGGATCACCTTTTGCCATTCAAGATGCCTGGCTAACAGATAGACTGATGCTTTCACATAGCTTGGTTTGGCAAAATTATTTATGAAAAGGTCAGCAAGTTCCACAGAAGCATCAACTAAATCAGTCTAAGCTGAAAAGAGGAAACCTCAAGAAGATGCAGGCAACTGGTAACATCAAACGCCAGGACAAGCGAGCGAACAAGCTTGCACGTTGACAATCTTTACACTTCATTTTCCATAGACATCACTATGCCTTGTATGGGCTGGTAGTGCCACCGCCAATTGTACTGCCTACTTTCAGGCAACCATCTGAATTTCTCTCAAACAAGTCATCGAAAAACTTGTTGGAAGGAACATAAGATGGCCTCACGAGCCCCAGCAGACAGTGGTTGCTTCAGGTTCCCATTTATTGGTGAGTCCAAACTCGCAGATCGAAGTGGTACCCCAAAAGAATGTGATTGCTGTAGAGGCCTCAAGTTCGGTGGCATGATAGGAGTGCTCGAAGTGGACTGGTGCTGAGATGATGATGCTACAAAGGGTTCGATTCGGTGTTGTCCTGTGAAGCCCAGGGTGGCGGCGGGTAAGCAAATGAGCTATAAGATAACTGTGCTTGAGTGGGTGTCAGTTGTTGACTTCCTGTGGTCTGAGCTTGAGGCTGAGCCCACGGAGCGACATAAGTTGCAGATACATGTCTTTGGTTTCCATGATAAGCCCGCGGATGCCCACTTGTGGGTGAGCTGCCTTGATTCAAGCCTGGTTCAGGTATTACCGGGGTATAGGATGGTGACAGATTTGATGATATGGTGAGTGCAAGAAGGTCACTCATAACCTGCTCCTCTGGAGATGTCCTCACTGGGGCTGGAGGATCATGCAGAGACAATGCATTGCTTTCAATGGATGGTGATGTTGTGGGAACAGAAGCCGTAGAACTTGATATTTCATCATGGATGGTTGATGAAGAGGTGCTCGGGGTGTTTGTGGACTGAAATTTTGAGTTCCTGGTCAAAAAGGTTAAGTCAGCTCTGGATGATAAAAGGAAAACAAAACTAAGAATCAAATGTCAAGATTGGCATCAGGACAGTGTAACCTTCGAGCTAGCATAGAGAACTCATCATCTTCATTTTGTTCATCTTCGTCATTCAAAACATTGGTTGGTTCGTCATTCAAAACATTGGTTGGTACTATGGTTGTAGAAACTGCAGCTTGTGGAGGAACATTTGCTCCTAGGTTTAGAGCCATTCCTGAAGGCACTTCGCTCATAACATCTATTACGTCAGCAGATAAAGGATAACCTGATGCAATCGAATCATGTTTCTCAAGCAGAATTTGTAGTTTATCATTTAAATCAAGAGCTTGGCCCAAGAATTCCTCATCCCTGCCATGCAGAAGTGGAACAACAGAAAATTAGTTTGACAGTATAGGCTAAAATAAAATATCTTTACTACTACCATCCTGTTAGATAAGTTGATAATACAACATGGACAATGTATAGCTGATATTGCTCCCTGTCTCTTCACCGTGGTACCCAAGTGGAGAGCCAACAGCCAGACAGTTTTGGAGGCTCTCGCCGATCTGACGTGGGTCACTGACTTACAGGGGCTGTTGAATGTTGGTATCCTTGCTGAGTTCCTTGATCTGTGGGATCTCATTGCTCAAATGAATTTGCAGCCCGAAGTGGATGATAGGAACAATTGGCGTCTTGCACCATCCAGGGAATATTCAGCAAGGTCGGCTTATGATGGTTTCTTCCAAGGATCAGTTTCTTTTTGCCCTTGGGAACCCATTTGGTTGGACTCTGGGTAAATGTCGCTTCACGTGGTTGGTTGCCCATAACAAATGTTGGGGCTGACCGGCTGGCTTGCCAAGGTTTGCAACATCCTCCTCGCTGCCCATTGTGTGATCAGGAAGGTGAAACAATTAATCACCTTTTGTTGGCATCTGTTTTCTCATGGCAGTTTTGGTTTAGGCTACTACAAAGGGTGGGGCTTCAGAACCTCTCTCCTCAACGGGTAGAGTCTTCCTTTGATGGTTGGTGTTCTAGAATCAACAAAGGGGTGATCAAACAGGTTCAGCAAGGTCTAAATTCCATTGTAATTATCAGTACTGGGACCATTTGGAAACAATGTAGCCTCTGTGTTTTTTATGGGCTCAGGGCATTGCTTGTCTATCTGCCTTCTCTTGAGGGAAAGGTTTTTTTCTCCTCCTGGTCATGGTAGTGTTTTGTGGTTGTGGTGTATGATGGGCGATCCAGTTGTTTGAGTGGTGGGGTGTTGGTGTGTGTTTTGTAAGGGTTTCTCTATCCGGTGTTTTCTTTTTAATATAATGATATGCGCTCTCTTGCGTGTTCAAGAAAAAAATACTACCATCCTATTAAATTACCCTATCTGGCTATCTAAGTGTGTGCTTGATACCAGTCAACAATTCTGTACTATGGGAAGAGTTGTCGGATGTTTTTCTTTTTACAGTTGGCAAAACACCTCAAACAATAGAGAATGTCTCAGTCTAGGAAGTTAATATGAATGGTTCGAATTATTTTCCAGTGAAGCAATGCTTATATCTTCTTCTTTAATGAATTGATACACAGAACTCTTGTGTATTGAGAAAGCTGCTTATGAACCAGCAAGAATAACATATGCAATTCTAATACATGAAAATTTTACATTCATCTCCATTGTAGCTTCAAGTTGCATATTAACCAATGTATTCATCCCTAGCCTCCAATATTTATAGAAAAATCTCATTATCTTCAAATGTAACTTTTTAGATCTATAAACCTCCGAGTAACAGTCGGCAGTCGTTGGAGAACCTGGTCGGCCTCCTATCTCTCCCTGACTCCCGCGTCGCGCGACTTATGGGCGACTCGGGCAGAGCCCGCCTCCCCACACCGCCGAGCCTCCTCCTCCTCACCCCCTTCTCCTCGCCGCCGCCGGAGTAGGCCACCGGAGGTTGGTGGTCGTGAGGAGGGCGGCGGCGGGTCGCTTTATGGCCGCGCGCACGGCTGTGGTGGGCCGCCGCCGCCGTCGGGTCTGGCGCCCCCTCCGCCGTCCTCGAGCGTGGATCCGGTGCCCCCCCCCCGGCATGGATGGATTTTGCCCCCCGCGTTGTCACCGGCGAAGAACATGTGGGCGGGGTCGCCGTGCGCCTCGAGCCACGGGTCAGCCGCGGACGACAACACCCACTTGAGGGCCGTGAGAGAATCCACGTACGCTGCGGGGACCGAGTGCTCCGGCGCGAGGTGGTAGTCCATGGAGACGGCTACGGTCGGGCAGACGCAGGTGAGGTCGTTGAGGCAGCGGTGGTACACGGTGGACCCGGCCAATCTGATGATGAATCATGTGGGGTGGTGGCCGACGCCGGCGTGTGTGTGTAGAGAGATAGGGAAAAACCACACACCCTCTTAGGGGGGTGACCTTTCATATATATAGCCCAATGGGGCTGGGTGTACACCATGTCCAAATACAACGTATACAGGACTATACACATGTCTAATACCCGCCCGCAGTCGCAGCGGGAGGATCTCGGACGCAAAGACTGGACCTAAAATCAGTGAACAACTGTATAGGCAAGCCTTTGGTCATGATGTCCGCGAACTGATGAGTCGAAGGGACATGGAGCACCCGAACCTGTCCCAAGGCAACCTTGTCACAGACGAAGTGAATGTCGATCTCGATGTGCTTCGTGCGATGATGGTGGACAGGATTAGCGGTCATATAGACGGCGCTAACATTGTCACAGTACACAACGGTAGAAAAGGCAATGGGCGCGTGAAGCTCCTGGAGAAGCTGACAAAGCCAACAGCACTCGGTCACGGCATGGGCAACCGTGCGGTACTCAGCTTCAGCACTGGAACGGGACACCATCGTCTGGCGCTTGGAGGACCTAAGATACCAGGTTGTCACCGAGAAAGACGCAGTAGCCGGATGTAGAGCGCCTGGAGTCCGGACAGCCCGCCCAGTCCGTGTCGGAGTATGCGGTGAGGGAGTCAACCAGCCCGGAGCTGAGGTGGAGACCGGTGGACAGAGTACCCTTCACGTAGCGCACGATGCGCTTGATCAATGAGAGATGAGGCTCACGGGGATCGTGCATGAAGAGGCAAACCTGCTGGACCGCGTAGGAGAGCTCGGGACGGTGAGCGTCAGGTACTATAGAGCGCCGGCAAGACTCCGGTACTGGGACGGATCGGTGACCGGAGCTCCGTCGGTGGCGGAGAGCTTGGCACGAGCGTCAACCGGTGTGGCGGTAGGGTGACACTCGGCCATGCCCACCCGCTGTAGAAGATCCACAGCGTACTGGCGCTGGGAGAGGAAGAGACCCTCTAGCGAGCGCGTGACGGAGATGCCGAGGAAGTGGTGCAGATCGCCGAGGTCCGTCATGGCGAACTCAGAGTGAAGACGCGCCATGATGCGCTACAGGAGGTCGGTCGAGGACGTGGTAAGGATGATGTCGTCGACGTACAGGAGCAGGTAGGCTGTAGTGTCCCCCTCTTTGAGCACAAAGAGAGACGTGTCGGAGACGGACGCGACGAAGCCGTGCAGCCGGAGGTAGGTAGCAAACCGCTGGTACCAGGCCTGAGGAGCCTGTTTCAGGCCATATAGAGAGTGTTGCAGAAGACAAACATCGTCAGGACAAGCAGGGTCGATGAAGCCGGGAGGCTGCTGGTAGTACACGGTCTCCGCCAGATGACCGTGAAGAAAAGCATTCTTCACGTCAAGCTGGTGGATCGGCCACGATCGCGAAGCAGCAAGGCTGAGGACGACGCGTATCGTGGCCGGCTTTACGACGGGGCTGAACGTCTCGTCGTAGTCGATGCCGTGGTGCTGGGAGAATCCGCGAACCACCCAACGTGCCTTGTGGCGGGCAAGGGAACCGTCCAAGTGGAATTTATGTTTGAAAATCCACTTGTCCATCACAACGTTGGCGCCTGGAGGGCGAGGAACGAGGCGCCATGTCCCGTTATAAACGAGCACCTTGTAGTCTTCAGCCATGGCAGCCCTCCACTGAGGGTCGGCCAAGGCACTCTGGTAGTTCGCTGGTACCGGCGAGACGATGGAGTAGGTGATGGAGAAGCAGTAGCGCTAGACCGGACGAAGAATGCCGGTCTGTGACCAAGTGACCATCCGGGAGGCCGGTGGCGCAGGTGATGGTGCAGGAGCCGGCACGGCCAGCGCCGGAGCAAGCTGCACGGGCGGTGGTGATGCAAGCTTCTCGGCCACTGGCGGTGGTGCAGGCTGCTGGGTCGCTGGCGCCGTCATAGAGGCCCAAGGACGCCGTCTGTACGTCAGGTGGAAGTCCCGGGCCGGTGGAGCAGGATCGGCCGCTTGTGGAGGCGATGCGGCCACTGGTGGAGCAGGGGCGGCAGCCACCATAGGCCGGCAGAGAAGAATCGCGGTGTCATCCGACAGCTCCTCTAGGACCACCTGAAAAGGACGCGGTCGCTTAGCGTCGGCATGCGATGGAGCGGCCGCAGGGAGGCGCGTCAGTACAGTACCTGCAAGCAAGAAATCCAGGTCGCTGGGCGAGGACCCGAAAATGTGAATCCCGAAGGGAAAGCACGTCTCGACAAATACAACATGGCGCGAGATGATGATGCGCCGGGTCGACAGATCGAGACAACGGTACCCCTTATGCGATGAGGGATAGCCGAGAAAGACACAAGCTGCCGAACGAGGGGCGAGCTTGTGGCGAGCCGTGGCGGTCAAGTTGGGGTAGCAGAGACACCCAAAAACACGAAGGTGGGAGTAATCGGGTGTCTTGTTGTAGAGCAGAGCATATGGGATGGCATTGCGAATGGTGGATCACGGGCGCCGGTTCAGCAGGTACATCACTGTGGCAAGCGCCTATGCCCAATAAGGTGCAGGCATGTGTGCATGAATAAGCATGGTGCGACTGATATTGTTCAGTGTGCGAAGAATGCGTTCGGCCTTGCCATTTTGTGGAGAAGTGTAGGGACACGAGAGGCATAAATGAATACCACGGGAGGCAAATAAAGTCTGGAGGGTATTGTTTACGAACTCGGTGTCGTTGTTGGCCTAGATGACTTTGATGGCGAGGCTGAACTGTGTGGAGACATAGTTGCAAAATTTGGTTATGTGGTCTGCAACCTCAGATTTGCGAACGAGGGGAAAAGTCCAACAAAAATGTGTAAAATCATCGAGCAAAACGAGGTAATATTGATAACCCGAGATACTAGCAACAGGGGATGTCCACACGTCACAATGAACAAGTTCAAAAGGCATAGAGCTAAATGAACTAGAGTTTGAAAAGGGAAGCAGCACATGTTTGCCAAGCTGACACGAATGACATAGAGTATGCTCTACTTTATTACAACTGATGGACGCACTATGGCGAAGAATGTCGATGGTGGCAGAGCTAGGATGACCAAGACGGTGATGCCAGAGGTCGGTGGAGATGGCGAGGCTGGCGTGTGGAGCGGAAGGTGCAGCGGGGATGGTGTAAAGGTTGCCAACACTATTGCAGCGAAGCATCACGCACCGGGTCGGAATATCCTTGACAGAAAAACTACGAGCGTCAAATTCGATAGAACAATTGTTGTCCCTAGTGAACTGATGAACTGAGAGCAGGTTGTGCACTAGGGATGGAACAACTAAAACATTATGAAGAGGAAAATTTGACACGGGGGTTTGAAGGATAGACTCGCCACGACATGTAATAGGGAGATTTTGACCATTACCAACGGAAATGAAGGAGTGAGAGGAAGGATGGCGGGAAAGGAGTATACCATCCGAGGAGCTCATGTGAGAGGAAGCACCAGAGTCCAACCCCTAGGGGTGTTGATTCTGGAGGTTCATCTGGTTGAGCGCGGCGACGAGGCCAGCCTAGTTCCACATGGGAGCCGGCTGGGAGACCTAGAGCGGCACGAAGGTCGTGGGGGCTGCACCGGCGCATAGTCCGTGTGAGCCTGAGGATGCGTGCCGAGGACCCCGGGACGCCAGGTGTTGTGGCCCTGCTGGACCGGAGGAGGGCCTTGGGTTGCCCACGGGTTGTAGCAGAACTAGGGACCCATGGGTGCAGCCTGATGGAGAGCACCAGCAGCGCCACCGTGTGGCTGTGGAGGGCCGCCATTCCAGCCCCGCTTGCCCTTGCCCTTGCCGCCACCGCCACCCTTGTGACCGCCGCTGGTGCCGCTGTCGTAGCCGGTGGTGTTTCTGCTGTGTCTGCCAGAAGAGGCCCCAGCGGTGGTGGAGCGACACCCGCTCGGACTGGTGCAGCCTGAGCCGGCCGCAGCGAGGAGGGCGGTGTTGACGACAGTCTTCTCGTCGTTGGCCAGGCGGATCTCCTTGAGGAACAACATGTCGTGAGCCCTGGCAAACGAGGGGAGGACGGTGGAGTTGGCGATGTCGTCGGCAGTGTTGGAGAAGCGAGGGTCGAGGCCACGCAGGAGGGCGAGGACGAGCTGCGAGTCCTCCACAGGATGGCCGACGTCACGGAGGGCGGTGGCCTTGGTCTTCAGGCATTGACAGTACGCTGAGATGGTGGAGTCGCTCTGCACCATGGAGTGAAACTCGTTGAGGAGGAAGATGGCGCACGGCTCCTTGTTGGCGCGGAAGATCTCCTCGGTCGCCACCCAGAGGTCGCGGGCGATCGGGTCAGGCTCGTCCATGGCGAGATCAAGGACGAAGTCATCGATGGAGCCGAGGATCCAGCTGCGGACGCAGCACTCCATGGCATCCCACTAGGGGTCAGCGGGTTGATGAGGAGCGGAGCCGTCGATGTGCGAGCGAAGCCCGAATTTGCCGCACAGCAACTTGAAGAAGAACACCCACTTCGAGTAGTTGGAGTTCAACTCCAACGTGATCGGGACGTGGGATTTGACGTTGACCGTGGCGAAGGGATGATCCACGATCGGCGGCGGCGACGGCACCCATGGTGCCGTTGCTGGTGGCCGGCAAGGTGCTCGCACACGAGGACTGGCATGGAGCTGTCACCGGTGGCTGGCGCGGTGCTGGTGCCGAGGGAGGGAGCGGTGGCCATCGAGAGGGGGCCGCCTCGGAGGGAGATCGCCGCCGGGGTGGGTGGACGAGCGTGAGGATGTCACGTGCGTAGGAGGGAGGCGCGTGACCGCGAGGGGGAGGCACAGTGATCGCGCAGGGGAGAGGAAAGAGCGGAAGCGGAAGGTTAGGATCTGATTGTGAATGATACCATGTAGAGAGATAGGGAAACACTACACACCCTCTTAGGGGTGGTGACCTTTCATATATATCCCAATGGGGATGGGTGTACAATATGTCCAAATACAACGTATACAGGACTATACACATGTCTAATAGTGTGGGTTGTGTGGGCCACCGCCAGCAGCTTCGGCTTCGCATGAGTGCGAAGCTGCTCGGTTGAGATGCCTCATTCTATCCTGGAGCATTTTGCGGTGAGGACGGCACGATCGCAGTGAGACGACTATGACGCATCGGCGGCACGATTGCGGCATGTGGGCAGCAAGGTGGCTGTGGTGCGGAACTGCACGATGGTGACTCGGAGACCACGTTCGACGCGGCATCAGCATGTGGGTGGCATGTCTGCACAACGTGCTATTGGGACACAGCAGCCATGGCTGGCCATGGCGACTGCTGTGGGCATGTTTTTCCATCTGCAACGGCTCTATGAGCTCAGCTCACGAGCTGCGTGCGGTGGCAGACGGTGAGCAACTTCATTTTTGTGGGCGAGTTTATCCAGCATCTATGGAGAATATTCTCCTGTGGTGGATATCCCTGTCCAAGTCGTCCAAGAACCAAACGCCGCTCATCCATGGATGGCCATATCCCATCCGAACCAAACACACCCTTGGCTTCACAGAAGATGCTACGTTTGGCTGCATGCGTTCGTCTCTGACCACGTACCATGGTGCTTCTAAGATTGGCTGATGAGTGGTGCAGTGTGTTGGACCAAAGCTTGGCCGGTGTTACCCAGAGCCGATGACAGTGACACTTTAGGTGTCGTTCCCTTCCTTAGAAGTGTCGTTAATATGCCTCCGCTCATCCTATGTGATTCTTCTGAGGAAACCCTGCCTAGGTTCTTAGGCAGGTGATGATGGCAATCAACATCATTTCCTTCCTAAAGGCGTCACCTAGAAGATCATGCACCACCTAGTTGGATGTTTGTCCGTGTGGGACGTTTATTGCTCTTCTGCAAGCTTTGGGTTTCAACGAGCCTGTCTCTAGTTTCGCTACTTTCTTGCGATATGTCTATGATTTTCATAGAGTGGATTTGTAGTGGTCAAGTTGAGCTGTTTTGGTTGTGGGGTGCTACAAAGCTTGACAACGATGACACATTGTGTTCTTTTTCTATGAAGTCACGGCTTGTTGTGACTGAGTAGTGATGTGTTAGGGGCTTTGGCTGATGTTTGCCGTGGGAAGTCGGAGCTGCTTATCACCTTGCGATAAGCTCGGCAACGATGACATGTGGTAGGCTCCGTTAGTTGTGTGTCACCTTTGGGTGTTGCTCAGAGTTAGCTGTCTCGGCTGTTGTGTTTAGGTTTTTTGCCAATTTTCCTTTAATAAACTGTGCAACTAAAGTTTTTGGGTCTAGTTTCCTTCATAAATTAGGTCAATTCTATTTCTTCTTAATTGAAAGGCAGAGCTCCTGGCATTACGTTAAAAAAAAATTAGATCTAAACCTTAGAACTTCCATGTCCCAACAGCTTAATAGCAATAGCAGTGATAACTTATAGGTGATATGCACCATTACTGAAAGATCATAGAACAAAAGATTCACATAGTCACATACCTTACTAAATTTACTGAACTCATGATCTTTTTCTGGTATGACCGGCATTGGGCCACAAGTTCTGTAATAATTTCATCATTGGCAGCCTAAGTGATATAAAAAAATGTCAGAAATGCTACTTTAAATATGCACATTCTCTCATATAAGGTTTATGTGTGTACAGAAAAAAAAATTAGACCAACCTAGGAGGAACTAGATGGCATTATATTTAGAAGAAAAAAGACAACCAAATTTGCCTCAACGAGGACTTGACCCTGGTTGGTCTAGGCATACATCCACACCCTTGACCAACGGAGCCAACTCATCCTCCTAGATGTATAGAGAGGGATGGGCTAAATGAGCAATAGGCCATGCAGCCTAGTTTAAGTAGCTATAGATAGACAGAAGAAACATACTAGCAAAGTAGCAAGAAACATTGTGTACTAACAAAATCATCATCTGCCAACTCAAATGTAGGCTCCTTAAAGACGCAAGCTAGGGTACTCAAGGATAAAATAACAATCAAATTAACAATCACTTAGTTTGAACTTAAATACTATGAACTTTTGAGCACAATAAGTATGTTACATATACCAGAATATAATCAAACATATATGTTCTTACGTCTTTATCATTTGGATTGACAGCTCTCAACATCTCATTTAATAGTTCCACAGCCCCCAGCATTCGTTCCAAGTCTGAGATGCTAAATAGGCAAAAGCATGTCATGTAGCACAGAGCACAAAAGAACCAAACTTTCTATCCAAAATAATGCTTCTTTAAAGTAAGATCACCTCAGAGAAGCTCCATTTGATGACATTGCCTCATCAAGCCTTGAGGAAGAATCAACTGGCATTCCATACCCTGCTTGAAGATATGATGGCAAAGATTCTGGTCGTGTGACTGGAGGAGTAAATATTGGTGCAGCATCGGGTGAACGCTTTGGAAATTCGACACCAGATCTCTGCAAGTAAAATATTCATTCTCAGGAAAAATAAGCTACCACCTGGAAGTATTATATCATTAAATGAATACTTTAGAGAGTAAAATAAACACATAAGTTCAAGATATTCAGAAGAGACGTTCTTTAAATGTTTGTCGTGGTGTTCCAATGTTAAAAATCAAGTTGTCTAAATTTCTCACCTAAACAACACATGCAACATTTTGCAATATGGTTCTTGCTAAATCTTCAAAAAAATGTTGTTCTTAAACAATTTTGATTAGAATACAAGGCAAAATGGTGAAGAAAGACATAGAGAACAAGATAAGAGATGTTTACTACAACCCTGCCACACATGGAAAGGTCTCCAATAAGACAAAAAGTAAAGGGGAAATCATGTTTTCATCCCTACTTTAAACTCTTTGAGATTTCGACTCCAACTGTGACTTTACACGTACTTTTCCAACTTTGTGATTTTGTTTTTACCTTTTTTTATTCAAATAGCCGTTTGCCCCTGTTTTGGAGTTCCACTAAGTGGAGTAGGACTAAAACAACTACAAAAAGGAAAATGGATTGAAAAATTGGAGAAGGACCAAACTAGTAAACTACCCTCCCTACCCTTTCGCCTGGCATCTATAACTCACTAAAAGCCCTCCCAGCTCTCACCCTCTCATCTAAGGATACCCATCAGTGGCTAACCCTAGCATGGCCATGGCAGTCTGCTTTAAGCAGGGCATGCCAGGCAGGAGAGTGCATGGACACAGTTCTGTTTTGTATTTTCATGTGGGTCCCCCTCTTAGATATGGTGTGGGTACAACATTACATACAACTATGATTTATCTTTGGTACAAAATAATCAATAATTGCTCAAATCTCTTTTTTTTACAACAGAACAAATTAAAATATATAATTTTGGTAGAATCTTAGATTTTAGATCTGTTTTACCAGGAAAGTCTACCAGCACAGACGTGCCAACCGTGGCTAAACGGTGGCCCTCACCAAGACGCGCCGGTGCGCGGTCACCACGGATGCACGATGCACCAGGACGCTGGCGCCGTGCGCCCAGTGAGTTAGCAGGATCCTATTATCTAGGAATATTATCGATTTGATTTGTTAGACTTGTTATCCCATTAAGTTAGCTGGTGTTTGTTAGGATTGGTGGTATAAGTGTGGAACATTATTCAATTAATGAAGTTAGCCAGAGATTGAGATTAATCTCTCTCGCTCCCTGGCATTCTAGTTCTCGCTCTCGCTTGTTCGCCTAGCCATAGACTCAGCGCCGAGCACGGCGCCGCTAGTTCGTCGCCGGGCATTCAAGCCTCGCCTTTCAACTTCCCACTCCTATCACCTACGCAGCAATTCACGTTCCAACAATCTGGTATCAATGTCAGCTGCTGGAGCTTCTGCCGCCGCCGCAGTTCCTACCTCCGCCGTGCCACCTGTGTTCCCATCTGCCCCCGCGTTCACCACCTCCGCCATAGTCACCACTGTGCCGCCCGCTGTCTCGCAGCCCCCGCTCACCGCGTTGCCAACAGACGCCCTCAACACGCTCACCGCGGCCATCTATGGGTTGCGGCGCCAGAAGGGGGACCTCGCCACGCGCGTGGCCGCCGTCGAGAGCCGGCCATTCGGCTCCGCACCGCCACTTCCTTCGCTCGGCCTACCAGGGTATGGCGGTATTCCACCACTACCGGCCTCGGGCCCCGTCATCTCGGAGGTGCTCACCACCCAGCCGGCTTTCCCAACCCTGCCAGCGACCACGCATCTGGTGCCACCCTCCGCAACCGTGTCCAGCCCACCGGTGCCGCCATCCCTCCCCATGCCCATCACCCAAATCAATTTCCCCCACTCGCCGTCACCCGTTCCATCATTCTCGTCCATCGTTAACATCCCCAACCCGCCGTCCTCGGCCACGATGCACATGCCGCCACCCCTACCCCACGATCCACCTGAAGCCGCGGCCGCCGGCGTTCCACGCTATCACAAGCTGTCCTTCTCGACATATGAAGGCAAGGAGGACCCCTTGGGCTGGCTCTATCGCTGCGAGCGCTTCTTCCGCGCCCAGCTCACTCGTGAGGCCGATAAGGTGTGGCTCGTGTCTTTCCATCTCATTGGCACCGCCCAACAATGGTACTACATGCTCGAGCGCGACGCCGGCGTGCCGTCGTGGGACGAATTCAAGCAGCTGTGTCATCAGCGATTCGGGCCGCCGCTTACCACCAACCACCTGGCGGATCTCGCATGCCTGCCGTTCACCTCCTCCATTGACGCGTACTTGGACGCGTTCTAGGCTCGCATGGCGCACGCGGACCGTCTCATGCCGTACCAGCAGGCGCAGCTGTTCACGGGCGGCCTCCCGGATCACATTTGCATCGACGTCGAGCTGCACGATCCCCAGGACTTGCAGCGTGCCATGCGCCTGGCGCGCGCCTATGAACGCCGCAATGCGGCGCCGATGCTCGCCATCTCGGCGCCGCCGGCCCGGCCCCCTCGTTGTGCCAAAAGCGGGCGGACCGCGCTGCCGCCGGCCTGTGAGGCGCAAGCGTCGCCATCCTCCTCCATGGCGCCTCCTCCACGGCCCTTCAAGCGCCTCACACCGGCGGAGATGGCCGAGCGCCGCAAACAGGGGTTGTGCTACAATTGTGATGAACCCTATGTCCAAGGCCACAAGTGTGCCTGCCTCTTCTACCTCGAGGCCTCTGACTACATTGTCGAGGAGCCCGAGAACCCGGCTGACGACGCCCTAGCCGACCCAGCGACATTCGACCCTGAGACCCCGATGATCTCCCTCGCGGCCATCGCAGGCATCCGCACGAAGGACACGATGCAACTCTATGTCAGACCGTCAGCAACGAGCAATTCGTCGCCTTGCTCGACTTGGGATTGACTCATAAGTTCATCCGCGGGGACGTCGCCCGTGGCGTCGATCTCCAGTTCGCACCGTGCCCGGGCGCCAGCGTCATCGTCGCCAACGGTGACCGCGTCGCTTGCCGTGGCCTTGCCCACGACGTCGGCATCCGCATCGCCGACGAGATCTTCTCCATCGACTGCTACACCATTCCGCTGGACACCAACGACATGGTCCTCGGCGTCACATTCCTCCAGCGGCTGGGACCCATTCTGTGGGATTTTGATGATCTATGTTGGCCTTCTGGCGGGGCATTGGCTCCACCCACCATGATGTCCAGTCCACGCGCCGCCTCAACGTCATCCGTAGCAACGAGCCGGACATGCTCGACAAGCTCCTCCAGTCGTTTGACAACGTCATCGCCATGCCGCAAGGGCTGCCGCCCACTCGCCCATGTGATCACCGGATCCATCTATTGCCCAACACAGCCCCAGTGGCGGTGCGGCCCTATCGTTACCCCCAGCTCCAGAAAGATGAGTTGGAGGCTCACTGCGCCGACATGCTCCAACAAGGCGTCATCAGGCCTAGCACTTCGGCGTTCTCGGCGCCCGTGCTCCTCGTCAAGAAGCACGACAGCTCCTGGCACTTCTGCGTGGATTACCGCGCGTTGAACCAACAGACTGCCAAGGACAAATTTCCCATCCCCGTCGTCGAAGAGATGTTGGACGAGTTGAAGGGGGCGCGCTTCTTCACCAAATTGGACCTGCGTTCGGGCTATCATCAAGTGCGGATGCACACCGACGACATTGAGAAGACCGCGTTCCGCACCCATGAGAGCCACTTCTAGTTTTTGGTGATGCCTTTCGGCCTCACCAACGCGCCGGCGACGTTCTAGAGCCTTATGAACTCCGTCCTCCGGCCATTCCTTCATAAGTTTGTACTGGTGTTTTTTTATGACATCCTCATCTACAGCCCGTCGTGGTCGTCGCACCTCCAACATGTCAATGCGGTCCTCACCGCCCTCCGCGACCACCAGCTTTGCCTCAAGCGCGGCAAATGCTCCTTCGTGACGTCGTCTGTGGCGCACCTGGACCATGTGATATCAGCCGACGGCATCACCATGGATCAGGAGAAGGTTGTTGCCGTGACGAGCTGGCCGCAACCGCGCTCGATGCGGTGTCTCCGTGGCTTCCTCGGGCTCGCGGGGTACTACCGCCGGTTCATCAAGGACTACGGTGCCATTGCTGGCCCCCTCACCGCGCTGCTCAAGAAGGACGGGTTTGCCTAGACCCCGGAGGCGACCGCGGCCTTCGACGCGCTCAAGCACGCCCTGTCCACCGCCCCGGTCTTGCATCTCCTAGACTTCGACAAGCCATTCACAGTGGACTGCAACGCATCGTGGTCAGGCTTTGGGGCAGTCCTCCATCAAGGCGCGGGTGCCCTCGCCTTCTTCAGCCGCCCGTTTGCGGCCCGTCATCTTAAGCTCGCCGCGTATGAACAGGAGCTAATCGGATTGGTCCAAGCGGTCCGCCATTGGAGGCCGTACCTTTGGGGTCGCCACTTCATCGTCCGCACAGATCATTATGCCCTCAAGTTCATGCTCGACCAGCGCTTGCCCACAGTTCCGCAGCACCAGTGGGTAAGCAAGTTATTTGGCTACGACTTCGCTGTCAAGTATCGGCCGGGTAGCCTCAACATCGTCGCCGACGCGTTGTCTCGGCGCGAGGATGCCAACGCCTCCCTCAGCGCGCTCACAAGCCCCTCCTTCAAGCTCTTCGATGATCTTCGTCGCGGGCTGCAGACAACGCTAACCTTCGTGCCCTCCATGACTCGGTGGTCGCGGACCGCGGCGCGCCATGGCGCGTGGCCGATGGCCTGATTCTGCGCGATTCCCGGGTGTACGTGCCAGCTTCCTCCGCGGCACTGCCGGTGGTCCTCCAGTTGGCCCACTCCGCGAGCCATGAAGGGATGCAGAAGACACTGCAGCACCTCCGCCAGAACTTCGTCATCGGCCATGATCGCCGCCTGGTGTGCGAGTTCGTGAGCTGGTGCGTCACGTGCCAACACAACAAGACAGAGAACCTTCACCCTGCCGGCCTCCTGCAGCCCCTGGACGTTCCGTCACAGGTCTGGTCCGACATCGCGCTTGACTTCATCGAAGGTCTTCCTCGCGTCCATGGCAAGTGTCATCTTGACGATGGTCGACCGGTTTTCGAAGATAGCTCATTTCCTCGCCCTGAGCCATCCTTACATCGCTGCTACGGTCACCAAGGCCTTCTTCGATGGCATTGTGCACCTCCACGGGTCTCCCACCTCGATTGTCAGTGATCGGGACCCAGTGTTCACGGCGAACGTCTGGCGCGACCTGTTCAAGCTCGGCAGCGTCAAGCTGCGGATGAGTACCGCGTTCCACCCGCAAACCGACGGCCAATCCGAGGTGGTCAACCGGACTATCGCCATGTACTTGCGGTGCATCACCGGCGGCCGTCCCCGCTCCTGGCTCGACTGGCTCCCTTGGGACGAATACTGCTACAACACCTCGTACCACTCCGTGCTCCCGACGACGCCGTTCGAGGTTGTCTATGGGCGGCCACCGCCTGCCTTTCTGCCATACACTGCAGGAACGGCCAGGACTGACACGGTTGATGGCCTCCTGCGTGACCGCGATGCGTTCCTGGCAGACATCCGCTACCGCCTGCTGCAGGCTCAGGAGTATGCCAAAAAGTACTATGACGCCCGTCATCGCCCGCTGGAGTTCGCCGTCGACGATTGGGTGCTTCTGCGGATCCTTCACCGGCCGGCGCAGTCCTTGGTGCCGGGGTTCTGTGGCAAGCTCAGTCCACGCTTCACGGGTCCATTTCAGGTCGTGGAGCGCATCGGCCCCGTCGCCTACCGCCTACCTGACGGCGCCCGAATCCATGATGTCTTTCATGTCGGGGTGCTCAAGCCGTTCCGTGGCACCCCTCTGGCGACGACTCCGGATTTGCCACCTCTACACCACGGCCGCGTTCTTCATCGACCTACACATGCGCTGCACGGCCAGCTCCGCCGTGGCGTGTGGCACGTGCTCATTCAGTGGGAATCCATGCCGGAAGCCGACGCCACCTGGGAGCCCGTTGAGGAGTTCCGAGCCCTCTTCCCCTCCTTCCAGCTCGAGGACGAGCTGTTCGTCGAGGGGGGGAGAGATGTTATGACCAGGAACGTCTACCAGCGCAGACGTGCCAACCGTGGCTGAACGGTGGCCCTCGCCAAGACGCGCCGGTGCGTGGTCACCACGGATGCGCAACGCACCATGACGCTGGCGGCGTGCGCCCAGTCAGTTAGCAGGATCCTATTATCTAGGAAAGTTATCGAATTGATTTGTTAGACTTGTTATCCCATTAAGTTAGCTGGTGTTTGTTAGGATTGGTGGTATAAGTGTGGAACATTATTCACTTGATGAAGTTAGCCAGAGATTGAGATTAATCTCTCTCGCTCCCTGGCGTTCTAGTTCTCGCCCTCGCTCTCGCTTGTTCACCTAGCCATAGACTCGGTGTCGAGCACGGCACCGCCAGTTCGCCGTCGGGCATTCAAGCGTCGCCCTTCAACTTCCCACTCCTATCACCTACGCAGCAATTCACGTTCCAACAGATGAATCCTATGACATTTGATCCGTCAAGTCTCCGATTGGGTCTAGAATCTATAATTTTGACAACCTTGGGCTAGGCACAAGGTGTCCATCAAAACTCTAAATAAAATATGTGCAAACTCTATCAAGTTTTCAAATATGTCCAAAATTCAATCAAAGTCTTTTGAAATATCTCAAAATGTCGATGTCAAAACATGGTAAAAGCACAAATTCTAAGAAAAGTTGGGGCAAATTTGCAAGGACATATATGTATTTTCACAGCTGAGTTGACACTGTTGAGTGGTCTTAACAGAATGAGGGTGCACAATCTTCAGTATGAATACGAGGGGGGAAATTAGGTGAATTACAATTAAAGTAGAAAGCACATAAACAAAATAAGGAAGGGATAAATTCTCCCATCATTCTAGTGGCCAGGGAAATATGAAAACAATGGAGTGATTGTGTCTTCAAAGACGCTATAACCACTAAATTGAAAAAATATATAGGTAAAACTACAATTAGAGTTGAAAGCACATAAACACTCAAACAGTCTTGCAGAAAGTGGAATCATTGTTTAGGTAGATCCATGGGGAGAGGGGAGTCATTCTTGTCACCTCTGTGTGTGGAAAATAATTGGGTATAGTGGAAAACACTAATGATCTGTTGTTGATTTGATGTTAATTGCATTGACCCTCAGGGGGTATTTATAGGTACATATGGTGGATAGACTATGAGTACAAATCAAGTTGTACTAGGCCTAATCCTATTATATCTCTAGGATTCTATCTTTATCTCTAGAGTTTGTTTCCATCTCCAATTATCTCTAACCATACATATCTTTATTTCCAACACTCTCTAGTCACAGGTTGTTTCCTGAATTAAAAAAGTGTGTGTGGGTTGGGTTATTAAGAATCCTTACTCCTTTCCCCTCCTTGTATATTTCTCTCTTCTTAATGAAATATGCAGCTCTCCTGCATGTTCGAGAAAAAAGATAGAAATTCGGAATGGTTCACTTGTTGAACATGGAAAAATTGAGAATCAGTAGCCCTAATGGTTTTGTATCAAACTAGTGAATTCGATGTTTGGATGTTAGTTTGGAATGTTGAACAATAGACTGTTGTAGTAATGTTGTGTTATGTCCTCTGTTATGTCACACCATAGATATGTTTGGACATATCTTATTACATATATGGTAGGAAACATGGATATTATCATAAAAGGCCATGAGAAATAAATATTATATAGATAAATAATGTAAAACCACTGATTTGATGGGTAAACCAATAGTTGGACCAGTGAACCAATAGCCTGACCGGTGTCTCTGGTCTGGCCTTTCATTCTATTGACCCAAAAGTAAAATGTCTTCTGTGTAATCTAGCTATCTGAAGTGCAAGAAACATGAAACACACCTTCAATTCAGCATATGCCCAGTAATAATGAGGGTGCTTTCCACCAGGCCCTCCAAACGCTTCTTGCCAAGAGTCCAGGAGCATCAGGATCTTATCCCTCACTTGCATATCCGCCTGTGACAGCATTAAAACTTAATGAGAATGTAAAGGATCTCTTATTTATGCTACATATGGTTATTGAAATATAATGTCAGAAATTCATAGCGAGTATATACAGCAAATTCTCTGCATGAACAAAGATCAGAGAAATAGATATCATAGCTAAAATAAGATAAAGGATAAAGCCTTAATGTGAAGTCAAAAATTATCTCTTCAAAAACTGGAATTTCAAAATGTCACGGGCCTAAGTATGGGCTGCTGTGACGGGCCAAGCGAGGCCCAGCGCTGGGCCCTGGCAGGCCGCGGCCTCAACCTAGGCACCATCAGGCACGCGCGCGGCCAGGGGGGCGCAACAGCCCCTCTGGCCCCCTCCCACCCGGAAGAGTCCAGATTAGATGAGAATTCGAATAGATTTGGATAAGATTGAGAATAAATAAAAAGAGTTTGTTTAGGAAATAAGATTGGTTTGTCAGGACAAGAGAGTCCAAATCTAAGGACTTCTCCTCTAGTGTGCTTGAGAGTCAAGTCCCCTAGTGACTATAAATATAGGGGTCATGTAACCGTTTGGATCTTAAGCAAGAATTGAGAGTTGCTCTCCCCTCTGTCCCTCTCCCTCTCTCCCTGCACTTTCTCCCCTCTCTCTGCGCCTGCCCTAGCCATCGCCCCCCCCCTGTGCCATCTACTACAGCCGCACCCCACCTAGCTAGGCCCATCACTCCTGGTATACAGAGGCAGATCGCATCCATGATCGACAACACCACCATGTCAACAGAGATGAAGGCGTGGCTCGAGGCCTTCAGTACCGACCCCACCAAGCGCATGGACAAGGTGTAGGAGCACCTCATCAATGTCGACGCTCGCTTGAGCAACATGGAGCAAGGAGGCTCCAAGGATGATGCCGACGCTGCAGCCGCAGCCAGGGCAAAGCTGGAACACGAGGCCACCAACAAGGACCTCAAGGTCGAGACCAAGCGAGCCATGGAGATCGCCGGGCATGCCTTCCTCAAGGAGAAGATGGAAGGCTCCAAGTCGTCGGGCATCCCCTAGATCATGGAGCAAGTGATGAACAATTTGTTCGTCACCACACCTGAGCCAGAGGAGAGAGAAGCCACCCAAGGCGCCTACGGTTCTGTCACCACACCTGCAGCAGGGTCCTTCCCGGTCTTCCAACCGCGCTACTACAAGCTGTCATTCCCCACATATGACGGCAAGGAGGAACCTTTACCATGGCTTAACCGCTGCGAGAAATTCTTCAGAGGCCAGAAAACACCCGACAACAAGAAAGTTTAGTATGCCTCTTTTCATCTAACAGGTGGAGCACAACAATGGTAGATGCATTTGACATAGTACAAGATGGTGACTGACTGGGCGTACTTCGCTCGTTGCGTCAATGAGCGCTTCGGCCCACCGACTCGAGGTAACCCGCTGGACAAGCTGGTGTCCCTATGGAAGACTAGCACCGTCTGTGACTACACGCAGTGCTTCGTGGCACATGTGGTACGTGCCGGGACCCTCGACGAGCAACAATGGATCAACATCTACACCGCCGGTTTCCTTGTGCCCCCTGGAGACCAACATCGAGCTCCAGAACCCGAAGGACATGGAGATGGCCATGTCCTTGGCGCGAGCATACGAGCCGCGTGCAGCTGTCATCGCCGTCGCTAACAAATCTACAGCACTGGTACCACAATGCAGCTCGTCCTCCCCTACCTCCAAAGGAGCTGTCCTCGACAACCGCTACATCAACTACACTGGCCTCATCATCGACTACATCGCCGGCTGCCCCGCCTCGTACCTTCAAGCGCCTCACCGCTGATGAGACGAGGGAGCGACGCCGTATGGGATTGTGCTACAACTACGACAAGCAGCTCACCCGAGGCCACAAGTGCAAGCACCTGTGCGACATCACGCTCGTCAATGACGTCGACCTCGACCTCATGATGATGATTGGCACCCAGAGCTCAGGTGTGCGTGGTTGGCGCACCATGTTCTTGGCAGGCGTCGTACTCGGGCAAGGCGTGCACATCCTTGTCGACACGGGCGCCACACACAACATCCTTGACGTAAACTTCGCCCAATTGGCGGGGTCTCATGGAGCGGCGCATCAACACCACGATCCTCGTCGGCAGCGCAATGAGATTGCCTGCCGAGGAGCTTGCTTCAACGTGCCGCTACGCATCGACTTTGAGACGTTCCAGATCGATGCCCTTCTGGTGGACATCGGCGTCGACATTGCCATCATCCTCGGCACGCCATGGATGACCGACCTTGGCAACGTCCTCTGAAACTTCGCCTCCATGGAGATGTAGTTCCAATGGGGCGAACACACCGTCATCTTCGCTACCGACCCCAGCCTTTTGAGTACCACAGAACGTGCTCGCCCTTCTCGCCCCGACACCGATCATGCCGGCGCCCCTACAACAGGTGCCCATGTCACGGTCGCCTTCACCACCACAACATTCGTGCTACAACCAGAGCCGCATGACGTCTGTGGCCCCGCTACCATCTTCGATCACGTCCATCAGGCAGTTCTGGAGGTGCCTGAGCTACACGCCATCGCCACCGCCATCATAGGTGCCTGGTCCCTTGACCAAGGGCTCCTCTTCTTCAACGGGTGCTTCTACCTCCTGCTAGCATCACCACTATTGTCGGACTAGCTAGAGACACTCCTCGTCGTTGGGTGAATGACGAACCTACAACTACTTGCGGTGGGTTTCCATAACTCCACCGACGACTGGGGCGGTCACCTACACCTTCCCCGTGAGTGTCTCAACAACGGTCATCTTCTTCAACGGCTCCAACTGCCAGCTCCTCTCCGTTGGGAACATCTACATCGGCATGAACCATGACTCGAGGTACCAATACTTCTCGCCGTCGCAATTAATATAATGTCGGACAACTTATGTTCAGTGACATGCTCCACCTCACGATGATGAAACCAACAAGGATCACATCGACAATCTACCGACATGTCACGGGCATCATCCTCCCTAGCATTGACAACCAAGTACACCACTTTGAGAGGCCTCCAAGGGCCATGCAGATGTTCACCATCGATGCCGGCATACATCGTTAGATCCTCACCGCCACTCGAGACGCGCATGGGCCACATCTGCTACGGGACCGCACAACTACTACATGTTCGGCTACATCGGCAACTGCTAAAACTACTTCTGAGTTTTGTCGTCGACCTCACACACGACAACATGATCCGTGCGGGCATTGTACTGGGTCGTCTCATCGTCCGGATCGAGGTGGTACCCTACGGAGGAGCTCTCCCCCAAGACGGAGTCAACAGCTGGACCATGATTCAGCGCGAGGACGCGTTGAGTGGAGAAGGGGGGAGATGTCATGGGCCTAAGTATGGGCCACCGTGATGAGCCAAGTGAGGCCCAGCACCGGGCCCTGGCTGGCCACGGCCTCAACCTAGGCGCCACCAGGTGCGCACGCGGCCAAGGGGGAGGGGGGGGGCAACAGCCCCTCCAACCCCTGCCACCCGAAAGAGTTCGGATTAGGTCAGAATTAGAACAGATTTGGATAAGATTGATAATAAATAAAAATAGAGTTTGTTTAGAAAATAAGATTGGTTTGTCAGGATGAGAGTCCAAATCTATAAGGACTCCTCTAGTTTGCCCGGGAGTCAAGTCCCCTAGAGACTATAAAAATAGGGGTCTTGTAACCATTTGTATCTCATCTCCCTCTCTCCCTGCGCCTCCTCCCCTCTCCCTGTGCCATCTACTGCAGCCCCCCCGCTAGGTCCATCACACAAAATTTTTATGTGGCTTTTATAAATATAAAATGAAATATCAAACCTCAATCATTCACCCTCTTTTCAATACTGCACCAACCTGTGTACAGATTGTAATAGTCATTTCCACTATTATGAAACAAGGCATGCATTTTTCTGAACATTATATTAATTGTTTATGGCAGAGTCCTACAGGTCTGTTTAGCATAAAATCAAAATAGACCTGGAATGGTATGGAGCCACTCAGCCACATATTTTGCGAAACAGAAGGATATTGTTCAGCTTGATGCCACATAAGAGTCAAATTGCTTAATTTGCAGCTTCATGCCACATGTCGAAACAGCAGAATATTTTTCAAAAGTTGCCACTCACTGATTAAATTGGTGCAGTTTTTTTAAAAGGAAAAACACAATGTAAAGATAAGGCCCTTATGTCCGCAATAAAAAGAGGAGAGCTATACAAGTGAGCGAAGAGCTAAAAGCAGGGAGAGAGTTCTGCTTCAGAGTCACAAGCCAACAAACTACAATGTATATAGTATACGTAACTAAAAGCCTAAAATGGTTATAAGGAAATTGAGAAAAGTGACCTTTTTCTTCACAATCTTCATTATTTCCTCCAGTATATTGCGCTCTACAACTTGAAAATGTACATGATCCCCACAGTTCTTTATTAGAGTCTCTAATAGCTGTAAAGAAATCTCAGAGGATTCACTCACATAAAAACAAACAAAAAAGATTAAAAAGTTCTTTAAGCTTAGAAGCATACCGTCAAAGCAAGAAACTGAACATTTGCATTCTTGTGCTGAATACGTTTTTTCAAAGCTTTAATCACCTCTTTTCCTTGCCTGAAATTAGTATACTGTTTGCTTAGTGATTTTCTCTGTTAGGAAACATATAAGAAGAAACTACATGCACAACTTTGCCATGCCCTATCCCTTACAGATCCTCACATTTCAGAGAAATTTTAATTTTGCAAATGAGGCTACCTCAAATGGTGGGTTTTGTGGGTGCACATCCTCACAACCCCCTTCATTGCTGTTTGGATTTAAAGTAATTCTTCAAAGGAAAAATATTCAGATGACGTACTTTTTGTTTGATCCATTCCATATCTTGTTCCTGCTAAAACGCGTTAGCTATTTGACCTATACTTCACAGCAAACTATTTCGTCAAATTGCTTAATTTTGTTAGTTGCGTGAACTTAGAAGTCAATGTATGATATTCAAGACAGCATCAAAGCCCTTTTCATCTTAAAACATATATATCCTTTCTTCGAAAAGTAGTGATGATAATTTAGAATGACAACAAAGGGGGAAATCAAGAGGATCATGGTGCAGTTCAGACTTTTACAGCAGTATTATGCTAAGGAAAAGAATGTTATGTGGCATCAATCCATGGTACATTCTATTGTAGCATACTACTCTAAACAAGATTTTCTTAGGCTGCAGTACAGGAAAATACTGTGTAGTATACAAACAGAACAAACTGTGTAGTCACGAAAGTGGATTCCTAAGTTTCTCGCGGCATCTGGATACTTGATTGGAAAAAAGGCAGCCTTCGCTTACTCGATTGGATACTTCGTTGCATCCCAACATTTGTTTCATTGTTTCAAAGAAAAAAAAGATACGAGTAATCATGAAAGCAAATACTAAATTTCAGGCCACGATGAAGTCTGGGAAATGTCATCCTCCCAGCACTTGATTGTATACTTTGTTCACATAAAAAGGTTCGGTCTTATCCTCTAGTGCGAAGGCGATTCAGAGAAAAATGGCATATATATTATGGCATATTACGTTTTAGAGGTTGCTGATACAGTGATACGAAGAGAGAAGATAGGAGACAATTGTCGAATCTCGAAAGAATCTATCTTTGCAGTTTGCATCAATAACCGTTCGCCATTACTGAATACTAGAACAGAGCAGCAAGAATAGTTTTCCTATTATTACTGAATACTGATCAAAGGAATCGTGCCAAGAACACGAACCGTTCGCCATTATTGCGGTGGCACAGGAACCGAGAATTCAAAACAGACCTCCCAGAAGAAAAAAGACGACGGAGACAGAAAGACGTACCCGTGATCGGCGTTGACGGAATCGCAGATATCGATGTTGAGGGTCCAGTCGGGGCCCAGCAGCAGCTCGTTGGTGGCCTTGTCCACCTTAACCGCCGCCATGGCTGTGCTGTTCGATCGACCTCTCGCGCCTCCTGCAGGTCACCGACGGCAACGGTGGCGGTGAAAAGAGGATGAGAAGGAAACGCGGAAAGGGCCGGGGGCGGTGGTATTCGTGGGACGGTGGGAGTGGAGAGTCCGATGGAGGGGATAGATCACTCGGGTGGTGGCGGGCGGTAAACAACAAAAACGGGCGGCCATTATTAGGGGGCGCCCACGCGGGGCGCCCACGCAACACAACGCAACGCATATATGCGTCGCAAAAAAAAAAAAAAAAAAGGCAACGCATATATGCTGCGCTTTCGGCGAGGGCGAGGCTCGGCCGCCCGTGCGATGCGTGCACACACACCTGGATGAAAGCGAAGCGAAAGAAGGTGGCCAGCAGCCAATGGAATCACTGAGGACCAATTTAGTAGAACTTCTCTTTGTGATTCTCTTTACTTCTTGACTCCCTGATACACAGGTGGAAGAGCAAGGTAGAGACCGGTTGAAAATCGATTCTAAAGTGATATAACTTTAGTGGCGTCTGAAGGTGGCAAGAGGCAGGTGGAAGAGCAAGGTAGAGACCGGTTGAAAATCGATTCTAAAGTGATATAACTTTAGTGGCGTCTGAAGGTGGCAAGAGGTGGAGAGAAGGTTTTTTAACTCCTAACTCGAAGAGCAAGGTAGAGACCGGTTGAAAATCGATTCTAAAGTGATATAACTTTAGTGGCGTCTGAAGGTGGCAAGAGGTGGAGAGAAGGTTTTTTAACTCCTAACTCGTGGTGTAACTAGAGAAGTGATTCTCGACAGCTTCCATAATATCTAATTATATTTTAAGAGTTTGTTTGATAGAGATTCATCAGCAACAGATTCAACAAAAAAAGCTCCACTCCACTAGAAATTTTTCAAACAATCAAGATCCACTAAATCCACATACACCAAAACGATGGATCTGAAGGCCAGATTCAACATTTTGGTGGAGCTCCTCAAGGGTGCTCCACAAAGTAGAGTTTGGTGGAGTTGGAGAAAATTACCCACCACTGCTACTGGTTACACAACATACTGCTTCTTTTCTATTTTTCTTCTTTTTCTCCGTCGTGTTTTCTTTCTCTTCCTCCGAAGGACTGGTTGAATGGTCTGGCTACCAGGCAACCGATCTTAGCCACTAGGCAATCAAAACAGATGGCCTAGATTGCTGCCTGGCTTAGGCAAGCTTGCGTGGGCAAGCAACCAAACAGACCCAAGAGTGGTGCTATTCCAAACTAGCCTTGAATAATTAGAAGTAACTCCAAGAACCTCTTATATTTTTGTTTAGTGATAGAAAAATAGAGATTTGGAAAAGAATATCATAACAACTTCATTAATTAGATCTCTAAATATCATGATTCTCTATTCTGGATTCCTTCCTAGCTAAAAATGGAGTGCAAGACTAGTACTTTACAATGCGCACAAGATATGGTGAAACTATTGGAGGATGAAACATACAGGGAACATTTTTTATTGAAATGAAATGACTATGTAAATAATGATTTAGAGAGATTTAAAGACTCTTGAAGATTCTCATACCCTGTGAGGAATCTCTGCTTTCGTTCTCCAACTAGGAGTCCATAAATTTGTCTTGCCCTTAAAATCGTTACTGAATTAAAAAAAACATCATAAACTTTGATACCTAACAACATACACAATTTACCTCTTAAAATTAGAAAATTACCTAAAATAGTTCATATAATTTTTTAAATGGTTTTGCTAATCTGGCAGATATGTGGCATACGAGACCTATATGTCTTTGGTTTTTTATCCATGTAATTTTTTTATTAAATATCTGGACTCTTAAAATGATCTCAGGTGACAAATTTTCAACTGAAAACTTTTAGATTTCACCGAGCACTGCAACTTTAATGTAGATCATTTGTTCATCCGTGGTTGTTTAGAAAAAAAAATCAAGAACTTGAATTTCAAAATCTAATAACTTAATCAAACATTTAGGTCTCCAAAAACTCTTAAATAAAGAATTTAGCAAATACAAAGTTGTAGATCATGTTAAGAGCTACAAGTATGGTATAGACCATATGTCAACATTTACCGTCATTTGAAAAATTCAAAATTTTTAATTCTTAAACGAATATGAGCGTGTAAATGGTCTCAAATAAAGAATTGTTAATTGCAAAGTTGTAGCTCACATTGAGAGCTACAACTTTTTTATAGACCATATTAGCATCCAAAGACATTTGAAATAAAAGGTGTGCAGACTAGTGTTTATAGTGGTGAGAGTACTTGCGTATTTGTGAGCATCTGCATAAATACTGTGATTCAAAAAAGTCAAAATGTTTTTCAAGATAAATCTAACTGTATCATTATCATTTTTATTAAGCCCAACAACTAAAATTCTAATTACAATTAATAAAGAGTGCCAAATCATTAAATCCTTGTTCCAAAATCCATTAGTGTCAAAATCACCGTTGAAATCGAAGACAGATCCCATATTATGCGTATAGTAAATTGCAAAAGGATCCGTGGCCTAGTGGTTACAAGAGCCTCACTGAGGTCCTAGGTTTGACTTACAGTGGGAGCCAATATTACATGATTTAACAGTGCTGTGCTTTTAGTGGTAAGCGACGTTTCCGTCGACAGCGAGGTGTATGTGATGACTTCGTCAATCTCGAGGATTTAACGGCTCAGTCTTCAAAGACGCTCATAGGGGTATAGTTTTCGTGTGTGACGTTCCCGTCGATAGTGAGGCGTCTGTGATGACTTCATCAATCTCGAGGATTTGCCAGCTCAATCTTCAAAGATGCTCATAGAGATACGGTTTTCGTGTGTGCGTTTATAGAGGTGAGTATGCATATGTTGTGAGTGTCTGTGTTGTACTGTCAAATAAAAAAAACAGCAAATTAAAACAATCAAGGCCTGTAGTCAGTTAACTACATAGGTTAATTTTAAGATAGAAGAGAGTGCAGTGTAATTGCTCATGACTTAGCTCAATTGGCAAAGGGAACAAATCGGAGTGGAGCTGTGTTACTGAGCTTATGGCATCTGAACGTAAACATCTTGATCCATTCATATAAGCACTCTTTTCAAAAAGAAAAAAAAATCACCCCTACTCTGCGCCGTGACGTAAGATATGATAATGTATAGCATGTGCCAGTGCCACCAGTGGTAAGTGCATCATGCACGAAAAACAGCGTTGGCCCTGTGTGACTGTGTCATCTTGGCACTAGTGACTGATCGAGGAAAATGGTGGAAGCATGACTGCATAGCATATCAACTTCTCTTTCCGTGAAAATCATGGACGCTGTCTAGGGTGGTCAGTGGTGCCTAGTTAGATTTGCACTAGCTACCGCCGCCCAGCGCTGCTGCGCCCAAGTCGCCGCCGCCACATCATCTTGTAGCAAAGGAAAAAAAAATGCCGACTTGGTGGGTTGAGGAACGCGCGCGTCGATGATTCAGCCGTTTGCCTTGAGCCAATTAGTTGCCTGTTGATTCACTCTCTGTACTAAATTAATTGGCTCCAAGTCAAAACACATATACATATCGTCGTTATGTGATGGCGATGGTACCATGTGGCCTAATTGCTTTTCTGAGTTGGTTGTGACGGAGAAATGAGCGGTGATTGACGCTGCAACCAGGACCGGTGCTTTAATTTTCTGCTCTGGAAAGAAGAGGTCCTAGTCTCCTAGAGGGAGCAGTCAGAAAGTAGCCAAAGCCAACGGAGCCGCATCATGCCAGTGGACAGCGAGTGGTAATGTGGTTGTCTTTTTTCTCGGCCATGCACGCACTGTCCTCATGTCGTCGTTTGTAGCTGTAGCCCGTTAGGATCAGCACAATCCACACAGCACAAACTTTTGGTAAAAAGAATAGACTACATCACAAGCTACTCGCTCAGTTTCAAATTATAAATCTTTTTAGCTTTTCTAATTACTTAACTTTTGCTATTTATATAGACATAGGATAAACTTAACGTGCGATGGGTCGTATGTTCCCCTACCCACTGGCAGAGCTACGTTGGGGCCAAACTAGGTCCTTGCCCCCCTCCTGTTCTGCTGCAATGCTCACTTGAAGTCTGAATGTAGCTGCATACGTGCTATTAATTTCTACCTCTCTCGTTGTCCTGTGCTTGCTAGCTACTACACATGCTGATGAGTGGGTCGCAGTTTGCAAGTATGCAAATCTGCGTACATTGTCCATTCTTCTTTGACATGGTTTTTTAGTTATTCATTGTAGAGTCTACATAGATGGAACTTGGAAAAAACAAAGACTTTGCACAGAATTCCAGTTGTCTGTATCGCCATCTCCCACCGCCCGGGCGGGCAGCATCCTCGTCGCCCCACCCTGCCGTTGTCTCGCCCACCATCGCTGCCATGTCATGACCGTCACCCCCAAATCCTATTCTACAGCCGCTGGTGAATGGATTCCCTAACCTCGGAAGTCTAACCCTTTCTTCCTCCTACTGTGCGGTAGGCTGATGGGTCACGCGAGTGCACGAACGCACACGCCATCACGTGATAGAGTTTGCTCTAGACATAGCGTAGTATCTTGATGCATAAGAAAAGCTATGTATCTAGAAAAGCCAAAACGACTTATTATTTACAATAGGGAGTAGGTGAATCTGTTGGCAATATAATTGACAAGTGTTGACAGTTAAAATGTGCCAACAAGGATAATGGACTCCACTAATAAGTTTCTAGCATCGAGATGTTAAATTTACGTCGAACTGAAAGCGGAGTCTAAGAAAAAAAAGATAGTTTTTGGACCTGTTGTGCCAAAACCGGCCTAGCCGGATTCCCAAACCGGGCAGTTCCACTGTGTAGACGGCTTGGCAAGGTGGTCTAACCCCGACAAAACCGGCTAGGCCAATTTTTTTGCTGTTCCGAGATTGGTTGAACGCCAACTCGGTTTTAGTTTGTGTTTTCGCATAGAAAACTTATGAAACGTGTCTTGGACTTGTTTTTTTACTATGATAAAACCACCCCTCTGTATAAATGAGAGGACCACGGTCGAGTGAGGAATTCAATAATCACCAAAAAAAAGACATCTACTACCCATTTTGCCCTAACTCTCTCTATCCTTGCTATTCATCACGTCTCTCGACGAGATTTTTTTCGTCCTGAAATAACCAGGTTTTTTCATCTCAGCCTGTAAAATGCTCACATGTAAGGGTGATGGAGATATTTTTGGTAGAAAAAAGGACTATTGGAGAACCGGTGGAGAAGTAAATAATCTTATGTCGTGTATATGATAGTTTCATGGGATCATAAATGATATTGGGGGACTGCACTCTAAGGTTAGTTTCAGTGGGAGTTTCACGAGGGTTTTATTTGTATTTAATAGCCTACCACATATATATTTTTTATGACATGACAATGTTTTAACGAAGAGATAAGAAATGAGTTTCACGAGGACGAAACTCTCTTGGTATGATTACCAACTCTCTTAGAATTAAATATTTATGAAACCATGAAATGAAACTTTGCATCGAGAGTGGATGTTCCGTCAAATTTCATTTTATTACGATATGACAGTTTTGAAAATAGCGTAATGAAATTCTCCGCTGAAACTGCCATAGACAGAAATATACCGTACCGTACTTGCAGTGTCAAGGAGCCAGAATCGGCTAAAAAAGAAATTTTGTGTGAGAAAGCGAGAGTACGAGAATTCGGGCCGGCCTTCTTCAGATCGCCGGAGTCCAAACGAAGCATTTCGTACGCATCCTGTTTCCGCCGTCCAGAGGAAGAAGAATCAACGGTCGCTGTCCGCGTCAGCTGGTCGGCTCCGCCAAGAAAAAACCCAAACGCAACCACGCAATCGCCGGCCGCCACCGCAGCAACTAATCAATCAACTTAGTATTCAGCGCTTTTCGATCTCTCCGTCCTTCGTTTGGTTTCCTCCCTACCTCCACCAACCCACCTGCTCGCGCCTTTTCCCTGGAAAATCCTCTTCCGACTCACCTGATTATTGCTTCTTGGTCCTTAATCTTGATATGGAGCAGCACCCCACTTGCGCCCCGCCACCTGCGCCGGCGCCGGCGCAGGCGACCGTGCCCGTGGCTTGGGCCGTCGTCCCGGTGGACTTCAAGGTCGTCAAGAAGGGACCCGAGATGGCGATGCACGACGCGACCTGCCGCCTCGCCTTCCGCGTCGCGGGCAGCGCCGGCGGGGCCACGACGCTCCAGGATGACGCTGGAGGTGTCCTGGTCGCCGTCAGGAGCAGCGGCCAGGTGATTATCGGCTTCTTTGCTCCTGCTTCAGTACTAGGTTTGGTCCATGGTTGTGGATTGAGGATAACTAATTTTGTTTCTTGGATGAGGGTGTAAGAAAGTTGGAGTAGGATTTCGAGGAGATTTATTAGGAAGCGCAAGATTGGAACGTGTCTAAGGAAATTGTGACAGCAGTATTCAGCACGGAAAAATATTGCTGTGGTTTTAAATTTGCTTCTACCTATGTGATGGTCCTGAATTGGACTGCAAAATGTTACTCATGTTGGAGACTTTGACAGTAGTGTGATCTTTGCAACAAATGAGTGGTATTGTAACAAGATTGAACATCTAGCTTGTATAATTGGACAGAGTGTCCTGCTGAATTTGAGGGGAAGATGTTGCAACTGCTGAACATATCTTCAATTCAGCAATTCGGATGCACCTTGAATAGTTAGTAATAATCTAACAGCCACAAATCAGAACCTCAGTTGTCTACTTTCGTGTTTAAAAACTGTGATGTTTTTATCACAGAGTACGAACCACATCTGAATAGCTAGTGCAGGATTGAAAGACATATAAAAAAAGAAAACACCCTTAGTACATCAAGGAATCCCCAACACATATGGGTTCTAGAGAGAGTTTTTAATATGTGGTGCATGGAAGATTTCTTTAAATTTTGACTCATCTTTTCTAATTCATTTCTGAAGAGGGTGTTAATTGTTTGGTCAAATAGATCACATTTTACTTTCATGATCCAAGGGCAAGATTTTAACTATGTTTCCTCATTATAACACTTGTAAAGGTAGTACAGAGACATCATATCATATTTTTGAAGAAAAATCTAATGGCATTATTTTCATGTGGTTAGCTCATACGTGTTTCACTATGAATGTTCAATTTTCGGGAACTTGAATACATGGATCCATGGAAACTGATATAGTGCTGTGTATCATATTTTTCCTTTATTCAGGGCGAGTGGCAAGCATTCAGTGGAAATAGTTTGGAGCAGACTCACATCATTTTCACTGCAAAAGTTATATCTGCTTCTTCAAGTCGAAAGGAGGTACATGTGTTCATCTCACCAAGAAGCACCGTTGAAGATTCAAAACCAAGCTACAGGCTCATAGGAAGTACATTCCGAAGAGCGTGCACAATAATAAAGGGGGACTCCATCGTTGCTCAGGTAATATGGAGCAACTGTGTTAGCAAGATTCAGTAAATGTTCTTTGCAGTAACTTCAGTGATTTATATTAAAAGTATTATTTTATATATCATTTTTGAATAAGATTTTTTCTATCAGTTTATCACAACAATTGTGAATTGTCTCTTTGTGCAGACAAATCTCTTGTACAAACTCAAGAAGACTATCTATTCACGGCGTAAGTTCAGAGTGACTATTTACCCTGCAAATGATAACATACTTGTCATGGCAATGATTGTTACATTCTTTGTCGAAAAATGACAGATGACACAGATGCCTACTTTGGTTTCAAAACATTGATGGCTAACTCTGCTACATATAAATCATGTATATTGTTCTCATTATGGATGATTTCTTTCATTTTAATTTTTTATATCACTCATCAGTTGCTCTTACTGAACCCAATGCTTTTGTAAGGAGTCTTATGTCCGCGTGGTTTTCTGATTCTGTTTAGCTAGATCCATACATATGGGCAAGTGACAAGAACCCAGCACCATTTTATTTCACACGACTAACAGCACCAACTGACTTCCATGCTAAACTTGAGCTTTACCTTCTGACGAGGATCTTAGTCTCTGTTGTACAGTACATATCTTTACACCTCCGGAATTGTATGAGCATTTCTGTGTGATATAGTTCTATAATTGGATTGAGCTGATTCATACACGCATCCCAGAAAACCGTAGCTTGTTTTGTCCAGTTACCTTGTAACTATTCTATTCTATGGTGAAGATGCGTGTGATAATGTGCAGCAAGGCCGCCATTTGACCGTGGCCAGTTCAATGCATGCATTGGCATTGTTTCAAGGTTTCATTAAAAATCAAGAAAATATCAGGTATAGCAGATTGTATTTGTATATGATTTTTTTCATCGACCAAAATGTTGTTTGCAGACTATGATGATGATGATGATGTGAAGAAAGATAAATGTATTCGGCCTGTTGTACATACGTGTGGTATGCATGTGTGTTCATTTATGCACTTTTCTTGCTGTAGTTCCTCATCACTTGTCTTTCTGGACAGTGATGTGCATCGGCATAGTATGCAGAATCATTTGGAAGAAAGCACAAAATACCGGAACTTGGATGAATTCAGGGTTGTCACTGTCCCGTTGATGTGTCTGTCTGAACGATAGTGATATGCATTATCCGGTTTGATAACGAAGGTGTCCTCTGACTCCTATAAAAATCACTAGAGATGATTTGTTATCATCTTGAAATCTTATGTTTTCAGCAGACGTAAAAGGTAAAGAGAGATATCCTTCAGTGCTTTTCACTGAACTGTAACTAGTATTGTGCAACTATCATCTATATATACTCTGCTACTGTTCCATGTAATCTGAAAGAGCCTCTGGTTCTTTTGTGCAGTTACAGCCCTGCTGCTGCTGCTGCAGGGGATGCGGAAGCAGCAGACGCAGCTGACTTTTGCAACTTGGACAACGATTGCATAAGCTCACACGCACAAATCTTGCTCTCTTGTTCTGGTTGGGAAAGGAATGTAGGCAAGGCAGATCCCGCAAAGTCATCGCACGACAGAGAAGGCGCGGAAATAGGCACCCAAGCAATCATGGCCTCCAAGGAGGCAAACCATTCTGTTTCTGGAGCCTTCACGACAATCCGGCCTGAAGAAGGACCTGCAGTGCAATTTCAGCACATGGTTCAGCTTGCTCTCGGACATAGTTTTTGCTGCCTTCAAACTTTGACGACCACCGTTGATCCCTATCCAGCTATATCTTCATTTGGGTATTTGGGTTGGAGCTGAACCAGGGAGTGGAGCATGATGGCATGTGTCCAGGAGACCTGATCCCTGAATTCCAATTTCTGGTGGCACGCGTAGGGACCGTGACGTCTATGAGAGGGGTGAATTAGGCAACTTAAAACTCTAACTCTAAACTATGGCCTCTTGTTCTATTCTAAACTATCTAAATGTGCAACTATGGTTTTGCTAGTGTGTTGCTATCTCTACCGCAAAAAAGTTATGCAACCTAGATTCCAAACCTATCAATTAGCTTATCACTAAGCTAGAAAAGTAAAACACAAACTAAGATTGCAATGTGAAAGGTTACCGTGACGTCTAAGATGGGGGTGAATTAGGCAACTTAAAACTCTAACTCTAGACTATGACCTCTTTTTTAAACCTTAGCAAAATCTATGCAAAAGATAAACTATCTAAATACGTAACTACGGTTTTGCTAGTGTGTTGCTATCTCTACCGCAAAAAGGAGTTATGCAAATAATGTAAATATGGAAGCTAAAAAGTAAGGTAGAGATATGTAAACTCCCGTCGACGACTCCAGTATTTTTACCGAGGTATCGAGAAGCGCGTAAGCTTTCCCCTAGTCCTCGTTGGAGACCCTCGCAAGGAATCCCTCACAAGGGCCAAGCTTTCGGTCGGGCAACTCCGTGGATAGCCCCAGGCCTTTCCCACGTGCAAGTGGGTCTCTAGTTTACCTTCCGGCAAGCCTCTCCCGGACCGCTCCCCGCCGTCTTCACTATCAAGCTTCCGGCCGAATTGCCGAGAGCCTTGTTTCCTCCGGTACACGGTGGCGATCACACCACAAACGCGGTTGGTGTGATCTCGCAAGATTACAAGCCCCTCTAATGTACAACAATGGTGCACGCAAGCACCGAGTGGTAAGAGGTATGCAAACCTCACTAAACACTAGGCCTAAACCTAGAACAAGCGCATAAGCAGTGGTCTAATCAACCTAAGCACTTCACAAAGCACATACGCTAATCACCTAATGAATCACTAAGCACTATACAAATAGAGATTAATAAAATAGTGTATCAACACCCTTGGTATGTTTCCTTAGCTCCACACTTCTCAAATGGCCGGTTGGGGAGGTCTAATAAGCCCCACTGAGAAAGTAGCCGTTGGGGACGAAACCCAGCTTTCTGCTACTGACCGGACACTGATCACGTCCTGACCGGACGCGTCCGGTCGTCCCGACCGTTGGAGCGTGCGCATTGATCGGACTCTGGTTGAGTCCGGTCATCATCGACCGGACGCGTTCGGTCGCGCTGGCGCCGCTTTGGAACCTCTCTAGACTCGATCGGACGCTGCACTTCGTGCGTCCGGTCGTCCAGTCTGCTGCGTCCGGTCACGCTGAAAACACTACCATGACGATGAACAATGTCATGGTGCGTCCGGTCACTGCTTCGCTCAGCGTCCGGTCACAGCTGTCGACGCTTGGTGTTGCCTTGCACTTGATCGGAGTGTCCAGTCACTGCTAGGGCAGCGTCTGGTCACCTCTGCCGGGCCCGTTTCTTCGCGATCTTACGTCTAGCTTGGTTCCAATCTTCGTGCTTGGACTTTGCTTGACCTTGTATATTTTCTATGCATCTTCACATGTCTTTCTTGAGGTGTTGATCTTCAGATCATCACATCGCCTTCGTGCAAGTCACGTTTTGCATTCAAATTTGGTTGTGTTGGTCATCAAACACTAAAATCCAAAGTAAATGGGTTTAGGGTCCATTTTCCTTACAATCTCCCCCCTTTTTATTGATTGATGACAACACGATCAAAACAAGCAAATAATAAAAATTTTAGAATTTAAAAACTATTTACTTGCTATGATACAATGCAAAAGGCAAGGTTGTAAGATGCTAAAAGATACCACATGTAAACATATTTGAAAACTTATCTTGCCCTTGCAAATGTCCCCATGTGGCATTATGAATTTAAGCATCCCCTAACTCCATAATCCACTATCCTCCCTTTCTTGGACCATTACCACTTGTAAATTATTATTATCGGAGTTGCTTTTGGTCCTACAAATTCTCACCCTTTGGAATCAAATACCGAAAAGGAAGACATTAGTGGCACAAGGGAGGGTCAAACTTTGTGATCCTTTGTATATGGAGTGGAATAGGTCACAAAATTTGACTCTCACATTACATAGACTAAGCTTCCCCTAAATATATGTATACATATGATGGAGAATATAGTTTATGTATAATTGGCAAATTAATGCTCAAGGGAGTTTAATGTATATAATGCATGGAGAAAACATATAAATACCAAAGTGAAATCAACATAATGATATCGGTTTAGAAATACCACATGTGAAAACCAATTTAATTTATACCACTTGCAATAGGTGGTGGATATTTGAAGTATGATGCTTAACTCCGGGGACTCCATTTTCCTTGCAATGAGACTACTACACACATGATAAGCTTGAAAATGTGTTAGTCTCAAGGCATCCAACTTGTAGAGTAATCTCCCCCTAAATTTGTGCACACAAGTATGGAATACTTGTAGGAGACATGCACGTTGATTTTAGAATAAAAAATACCACTTGAAAGATGACATCACATGAATGTGAGAATCATTTTTGAAGGTGATATTTAGGAGAAATTATCTACAATTTGAACTTTGGCACATATTAGATGAACAATTATAAAACAAGCTATGTGCCGTGCTTCTAAACAATTTAAACCATATAGGTTTGCTCCAAGGGTTAAGAATGAAATCGAGCAAGCCTACCATAAGATATACCTAGTATATGCAAGATAAAATATTAAGCATGCAAATGCAAACCTAGGCATGAAAAGGAACTAAATGTTCATTGAAATTATAAGAAATTAAATCCAGTTACCTAACATGGGAAGGAGAATTTGGGTCAATAGTATTCACTAACCCACTTAGCAATTGACATGATCCAATATGATGCACCCCATGAAATGCACCCATACTTTGTCAAGTCTCCAAATTCGCCAAAGTCCAAACGGACTCCTCACTTCCCTTTCGGGATCCAAAGCTTCTTGGTGCTCTTCATATTTGAAATGATTTTCTTTGGCACCCAAATGCGTTTGGCCCTATTGTTGACTTGCTTGTTCACCTTGATGGCCATCACCTTGTCATTTTTCTTCTTCTTTAACAAGTATGGTGTGGAGGCCTTCTTGTCCACCTTGTTGGTGTAGGTGTTAGAGAACTTGCTTGTTTGCTTTTCTTTTCTTCTTTGCTCCTTTCCCATTCTTTACCTTGCACTCATAGGACTTGTGGCCTTCCTTGTGGCATACGTAGTAAATCACGGTTTGTCCTTCATCAAGCTTCTTCACTCCCTCGACGGTGTTATCTTGATGAAGTTGGGTTTGCTCCGTCTTGCCTTTCACTTGAGTCAAGTTCTTGGTGAGGCGAGCCACTTCTTGCTTGAGTTGCTCATTCTCCATTGCAACCTCTTGTGTGCATGTATCTACAACAACTTTCTCAACACAAACTTGGTTGCACAAGGGTGAGTCTAAACATAAATTATTGCAAGAAGTAGAGGCATCCCTTTTAGCATGTCAAAAATTGAACCTTTCTTTTTAGGTGCCTCGGTGGGGGTTGTACCGATGGCTTTAAGATTAGCAACTTTATTAGTTAGCTCATCACAATGTTTGCACATAGTTTCCATTTTAGCAAGCAAACTTTTATAAGCATCTTGTGAGCCCGCTAACTTTTTCTTTAATGTCTCATTTTTCTTTACAAGTTGCTCATCATTGATTGTGCAATTATTTGTGTTTGCACTAGTTTCAAGTTGCTCAATTTTAGTAGATAGCTCTATATTAAGATTGGCAAAAATTTCATATTGTTCAAGCAAAGTAGCATAAGCTTGTTGTGAGCTATCTAGTTTTCCTTTTAATTTTTCAAGCTTCTTTTGTTGACTAGTGCAAACTTTAGTAAAATTAAGATTTTCTTATACAATTTCATCATAAGAAGGTAGCTCATCATCACTATCACTATTATTGTCACTATGACTAGGGATAGACTTTTTGTTACCTCGTGCCATAAGGAACACACGTGAAGTTCTTGTTGATGAGTGCTTGTGCCCGCGCCTCTTGTGGTGGTCTTCTTCTTCATTTGAAGAATCATCCCATGACCTTATTGATTTGAGGGCTTTGTTCTTGTACGCCTTCTTCTTTGTCTTGGGTGTGGGCTTGTTTAAACAAACTTTCACAAAGTGCCCCAACTTGCCGCATCCATACCATCTTTTTTTCTTTGCTCATTTCTTTGATCGGTGAAAATGAAATCTTGAATTTGGATGGGCACACCCTTGAAATTGAGCCTTTCGATCATCTTCTCCACCTTGTTGATAAGTTTAATTGATTCTTCATCAAGGTCGGAGGTGAAGGAGGAAGATTGATCATCATCACTTGAATCTTCTTCATCATCTTTTTCTTAATCTTCACTTGAGGAGCTTGAGCTTGAGCTTGTCTCAACTTGCTTGCCCTTCATCTTCTTTTCGCACTACATGTGAGAGCTTTGCCTTTGCTTGATGAAGAGGCTTCTTCTTGACCCATCTTGCGTGACATTTCAAATGCCACTATCTTGCCAATGACTATGGCTGGAGTCATGGTGCTCAAGTCCTCCATATTGTAAAGGATGGTGATAATGCTTGCATATTTCTTTTGTGGTAGCACGGAGATGATCTTCCTCACAATGTCCGCATCATCTAGCTTTGTTAATCCTATTGAATGGAGCTCATTGATAATTAGATTCAAACGAAAATACATATCACGAACAAGCTCATCATCATTCATTTTAAAGAAATCATAATTTTATTTAGCTAGACTGTTTTTGTTCACGGACATTAGTTGTGCCGTCATAGGGCTCTTAGAGTTTTAACCAAATTTCATGTGCCGTATTTAAAGTGAACACTTGGTTAAACACATCCATGCTAAAAGATTCAAACAAACAATTTTTAGTTCTACCATTGAAATGAATTTCTTTTTCTTCAGTCTTTGTGGGTTTATCAGAATTCTTAATGGGTTTCA